GGGGAGGCTATTATCAGAAACATATTTGCTGTGTTGAATATTCCATGCATTACTGCACGGAATTTGAAACAAGAGGCCCAAGGGCCTTAACGGTCACCTGAGTACAATACAACAATTTAGAGGATCCATAAACTGAAAAATGAAGCTTTGTTGCCCAAAAGCAAGAAAAATAGTATGATTAGCATCAACAAAATAATTGGTCTAGTATCTATCTGCCTATCTGACTTTCCAAGTCATTAAATCTATGAAAGTACATTTTCATTATACAATAAATTATCTTGCATAATTCTCTTATTCTATTAAGCTTTCAAATACATTATTTACATTGATTAATTATCAAAGGTGAATGGCAAAGGGGAATAACTTTGCTCAGCAGAATACAAGTTAATAGAGCCCTGGCCAGGACTAGAACACTTGACTAAATGGTCCAGGTGTTCAAAAATCTGGTAAAAATACCCTTGCATATTAAAACTTTTACTCTGTTTGCCTTGAACATCCCCAGAAGCATAGAAGATTTTCAAAGAAATGCATTTTCACCATAAAATTAAATAAATAAAGCCCCATCCTTACCCAGAACATCTGACCCATTGGCCACGAACTCACAATTCTGGAAGAAGCACCCTTTCTCATTATAACTATACACTTGTTTCTTTACTTTATAACCAGTAGTAGAAAAAATATTTTGAAAGAAATTATGCATTTTCACTATATATAATCAATAGAGCTCTTTCCCCCTCACCAGAACCCCTGACCCAAAGGCCATGAGGCATTCTTCCTTATCATAACCATGCACTTCCTTTGTTTGAAAAATACCCAGGCGCACACAAGATTTTGAAAGAATTCATGCCATTCCCTATCTAATCAATAAAGCCCCGCCCTAACACCAGAACCCCTTACCCAGAGGCCATTAAATTCATAATTTCTGAGGCAGCCATGCTCATCATAACTATGTACTTAGTTTATTTAATATCCAGGAGCAGAGAAGATTTTCAAAGAATTAATGCAATTTTACTATTTAATCAATGGAGCCCATCCCTAACACCAGAACCCCTGACCCAAGGGCCATGAAACAATTTCTGAAAAGGCAGTCATGCTCACCATAACTATGTTCTTAGTTAGTATATTTAATACCAAGGAGCAGAGAAAAAGATTTTCAAAGAATTAATGCAATTCTACTATATAATCAATAGAGCCCTGCCCTAACACCAGAACCCCTGACCCAAAGGCCATGAAATTCAAAATTTTGGAAGAGGCACTCTTGCTCATCATAACTATGTACTAAGTTACTTTATTTAATGCCCAGGAGCAGAGAAGATTTTCAAAGAATTAATGCATTTTAACTATATAATCAATAGAGCCCCACCCTAATACCAGAACCTCTGACCCTGGGGCCATGAAATTCACAATTTTGAAAGAGACACTCTTGTTCTTCATAACTATATACTTAATACCCAGGAGCAGAGAAAATTATTGCAATTCTACTATATAATCAATAGAGCCCTGCCCTAACACCAGAACCCCTGATCCTGGGGCCATGAAATTCAAAATTTTGAAAGAGGCACTCTAGCTCATCATAACTATATACTAAGTTAGTTTATCTAATACCCAGGAGCAGAGAAGAAGATTTTCAAAGAATTAATGCCTTTTCACTATATAATCAATAGAGCCCCACCCTAACACCAGAATCCCTGACCCTGGGGCCATGAAATTCATAATTTCAGAAGAGGCACTCTTGCTCATCATAAATATGTACTAACTTAGTTCATTTAATATCCAGGAGCAGATAAGAAGATTTTCAAAGAATTAATGCATCTTCACTATATAATCAATAGAGCCCCGCCCCAACACCAGAACCCCTGACCCTGGGGCCATGAAATTCACAATTTTGGAAGAGGCACTCTTGCTCATCATAACTAAGTACTAAATTAGTTCATTTAATAACCAGGAGCAGATAAGAAGATTTTCAAAGAATTAATGCATTTTAACAATATAATCAATAGAGACCCGCCCTAACACCAGAACCCCTGACCCTGGGGCCATGAAATTCACAATTTTGGAAGAGGCACTCTTGCTCATCATAACTATGTACTAAATTAGTTCATTTAATACCCAGGAGCAGATAAGAAGATTTTCAAAGAATTAATGCATTTTAACTAATGTATATAATCAATAAAGCCCTGCCCTAACACCAGAACCCCTGACCCTGGGGCCATGAAATTCACAATTTTGGAAGAGGCACTCTTGCTCATCATAAATATGTACTAAGTTACTTTATTTAATACCCAGGAGCAGAGAAGAAGATTTTCAAAGAATTAATACATTTTCACTATATACTCAATAGAGCCCTGCCCTAACACCAGAACCCCTGACCCAGGGGCCATGAAATTCACAATTTTGAAAGAGGCACTCTTGCTCATCATAACTATATACTTAGTAAATTTATTTAATACCCAGGAGCAGAGAAGAAGATTTTCAAAGAATTAATGCATTTTCTCTATATAATCAATAGAGCCCCGCCCTAACACCAGAACCCCTGATCCTGGGGCCATGAATTTCACAATTTTGAAAGAGGCACTCTTGTTCTTCATAACTATGTACTTAGTTACTTTATTTAATACCCAGGAGCAGAGAAGAAGATTTTCAAAGAAATAATGCACTTTCCCTATATGATCTATATAGCCCCACCCTAGCACCAGAACCCCTGACCCTGGGGCCATGAATTTCACAATTTTGGTAGAGGACTCAATGCTTATTACAATGATGCCAACAGTTTGACTGCTTGATGTCCAGGAGTAAAGAAGAAGATTTTTAAAGATTGCATTATTTTTGGTGGTTTTAGCCCCACCCCTCAGGCCCCAGGGGGGCAGGGACCATGGAATTCACAATTTTTGTTCCCCTACACCCATAGGTGCTATATGCCAAATTTGGTTGAAATTGGTTAAGCGGTTTCAGAGAAGAAGCTAAAAATGTTCAAATGTTAACACACGACGCACACCGCACGACGCACGACGCACGCCGACGGACGAGAACGGATAGCAATAGGTCACCTGAGTGACTCAGGTGACCTAAAAACTTGAAAGACGAGTGGGTCCAGCCATTGAAAAGATTGCCACAGTCTCTTGTAATGATGCTCTTGAAAAGGAATTTCAGGAATCAAGGTATGGACATAAATCAGTGTAATACAAAGTCAACAATAAATGTTTTTTTCTTTATCAATATTTTCTATCCATAGAATAATACTATTTACACAACTTTTTTCAGCAGTGATGGATTGAGCCTTTCCTATGATGCAGGATGGCAGAAAAGAGGAAGTGGCAGGAATTACAATAGTAAATCAGGTAATATACTCATTTGTGATTTTTTTTTTACATCTCTAAAGATGTTGAAAACAAAATATAGTATTTTAATCAATGTACATACATGTTTTTCTTTTATTTGAAAAATAGGCCATGCCTCCATGGTGGGGTGTAATACTAAAAAGATTGTTGGGTATGCGGTGATGAGCACAAGCTGTAGGATGTGTGATGCTGCAGCTAAGAAAAGTGTGCCTGTCCAGCAACATGATTGTAAGAGAAACTGGAGTGGGAGTTCTAAGGCAATGGAACCTGCAATGGCAGTGAATATTCTTACAACCATCAAAGACAAAGGACATGAAGTGAAGAAACTTGTAATGGATGATGACACGACGACTATTTCCAAGGTTAGAAGTGAAGTGGATAAAACTATACAGAAGTGTAGTGACAAAAATCACACCATAAAGAACTTTACAAGTTCTCTTTATGCCTTACAAAAAGATAAAACACTTCAAAGGGTAATTAGTACAAAAACTATAAATCACATAAAGAAGTGTTTTTCATATGCCATAGCAAGGAATGAAGATTCTGCTCAGTTGAACAAAAACCTTGTAGCTATTCCCCATCATTTATATGGAAACCACCAGAAATGTGATGTATCTTGGTGTAGATATCTTCAACATCCTGAGACCTATGTGCCAAGGAACCTTCCTTATGGAAAGTACTTGTCAAACCAGGATCTATTTGACAGACTGCTGCAAATATTTACAACATATGCAGAAAAATCAGACAAATTATTAACATTGGGAAGCACACAAAGCAATGAATCTTTCAATGGACTAGTATCGGTGAAGAACCCTAAGAACAGATTTTATTCAGGGTCAGAGAGCACATCCCACAGAGTGGCAGCAGCTGTATGTCAAAAGAATTTAGGAGAAGAGTATTTACTTCAGGAGTGTTATCTTTTCCTGTGTATAAATATAAATCTTTTTTATGAAAATAATATACAACCCTAAAACTTCAATTTCTTTCTTTACTATATGCAGACACATGAGGAACTTTCATTGTCCCCAGGCCGACAGACAGAAAGACATGTCAGCATACAGAAAAAAAGAAAGGAGAGGGAAGATAGTTTGAGGAGGACTGTGGCACATAAGAGAAGAAGAAATGAGCTAAAACATAGTAGCCAAAATAAAACAACCACAACAGAAATGCGTGAGGGATTGAGTTATAAGACCGCGGTTGACCTTGCTGGTTACTCATCAGAGTCTACAGAAGAAATACCCTCTCCCATGCAGCCAGTAGAACAGACACCACTACCAACAGCGTGTTACACCCATGTATACTTTGACTTAGAAACAACTGGACTTGGTAATTTTATGATGTTTTTTTTTTATATATACATGTATTCAGTTTTGTCTCGCAAAATTTTACTACTATCAACTTCTACACTATTACATTCAGGAATCAGGTTACAACAGATCTAGAAAATAAATTTTTCAATGAGAAGAATATAATCAAACACAATTTCATATTAGTATACAAATGTACATCAGTATCACTATTATATATTATTCAGGTCTGGCAGAAATAACCCAAATAGCAGCTGTGCATAACAGGGAGGAGTTTTCCATATATGTTGAACCGAAGGTACCCATCAGTTTAGCAGCAACAGAAGTGACTGGCATAACATATGATGGAACTACTATGTTCAAGAATGGAAAACCAGTACCATGTTATCCACTGGAACATGCACTGTCTAAATTCCAGGTATTTCTTCAGAAGTTCAATAATCCTGTTTTGTTTGCTCACAATTGTCAACAGTTTGACAGTGTTGTACTGTGCCATGCTATGCAGAGTGTGCCAAATTTGAAATTGGAAGAAAGTTTTTGTGGTTTCTGTGACACTCTTCACTTGATGAAAGGAATTTTGCCACCTCAGAAAAGCTATTCTCAGGAAGCACTTGTTGATGTTATTTTGAATGAGAAATATTCAGCACATGATGCTCTTGAAGACTGTAAATATCTACAGAAACTTGTAAAATATCTGTTGAATGATGTTGATGCTCAGTATATTTCACATACATTCAATGTACAATATGTTTTTTGTGTTTTAGGACAGAAAACCCTTAGACAAGAAAATTTCATCTCTATGCAGCCACTCGTCAGAGGTAAATGTATTTCAGAAAACATGGCTAAGAAAATTGCAAATTCAGGACTTTGTCTGCATCATTTGAAATTAGCATTTCATAGAGATAGTCATGATGGAATAAGAATTCTCTTTTCTGAGAAAACAAATGGGAAAGCAAGAGTCACAAACAGGACCAAAATAATCTCATCTGTATCTCAGTTCCTTCAAGATCAGTTTAGTGTTCCTAAATCATGATCATATCTATTCTTTGCCAATTTCAAATGATGCAAACATTGTCAACCTTTTTCTTTTGTCAGCATTATCTGATGTACATTTACAGCATTCATCCAATTGAACTTGCATCCATTGGATAGCTACTTTTTCTACCTATCTATATTAATATTTCCCTTAATATTAGGGAAAGAAAATGAAGAATAACAGTATCATTTGTAGCATTTTTATTATGAAAAGTTCTGAAAAGAAAGATAACTCTTGCTGATGGACACTATTTTTCCTTGCAAGAATAGATAACAAAGTGATATCCTGGCTAAAATAGCATCGCTTCATTATGTTTTCTTACATGAATTTGTTTTGTTTGACACTATATATTATTTATATATATATCTTGTATTTTTAATTTTATGCTGTGATAATAAATTATTGTTCTTTCTATTCACTGTGTCAAATTTTCTTCATAACATGGTAAGACATAAAATTTGTTTCTGAAAAAATAAGCAGCGCTTCATACATCAAACTATTTTCCATTTGGTTCTAATGTTATTGTTGTTCATGAAAATCAATATTAGAAATTTTAAATTTTCTTGGTGATATTTATAGCAGAGGGTCGGGACCCCTTAACATTGTTTTTAAAATTATAACACACAATAACCCATTCTTACTTTGTAAATCAATTTGTCGTTTTGATATTTTTCATCGTTTAAGACAGGTTTTTCATATTTTGAAGACCTTAACACATGATTATTTGCCAAGTATAATGATATAAATTGTATTTAAAAATATATGTGAAATGATGAAAACTATTTCCTGAATTGACTGCAAAATTTCTGTAATTTGTTGATAGACATAGTGTTTTGAACATCAAATAGTATCAAACATTTTTTTTCAACTTATTTTTTAGTAAAGATAGTTAAAAAGCATTGGTAATTATAAAGCAGTTTTGTTGCACTCCTGACTGCAGTAAAATTTAAAATTAAAACCATAGAACAGAAAAATTCATAACGTGTTGGCAACATCAAGTGGTAATGAAATTGTGCAATATTTATAGTTCAATACTTCATAATTAAAACAGATGAAAGTATTTAAAATTGGCATTTTATCTGGAATTATTCCTTATTTATGCCAAAAAACTAGCTTAAATGTATATTTAGAAGATAAAATATATTTTATAGCATATTTTCCTTTAGAGGAAAACAAAGTAACCCACAGAAAAATTCTACTCATCATTTTTTTCTTTATTTTTATTCTTATTGGATGATTTATAATTCTAACATATTTGTTGCACTCCTGACCAAAAGCATAGGGGCCTTTAAAGTAGAATTGTGAAGTGAAAATTACATAAGAACTTGTTCTGTTGTTTCAGTGAAGTTGAGGAGGAATTACTTGAATTTTATGACAATTTTTTAGTGTGTTTATTTTCAACGTTCATTAAAAAAATCACAAAAAAGATAAAAACACATCTGAATTGATAAAATTGAAAAAGGAAGGATTTTAATAATAAAACTGTCAATAATTTAGTATTAAATTATACTAAAAGATAATTATTCATTAATGAATACGTCTAAGCATGAATAGAAGTGTTTTCGTCACACAACTTGAATCTTTAAAAAATGTGTTGCACTCCTGACCATAGAAATATAGATCTGAAGCACAGACAGACCCTGTAATTAATAAATCTATTTGGTAAAAATGTTCTTTGTGTCTTTATTTTCCAAAATAAAAATCATATAATGATAATAGTTTTTTCATGCTTGGGAGCAAAACATCAAATGTTGCACTCCTGACATTATTGGGTATGCTCATATACTTGACTCTCATTAATGCTACTTGTGATTTATATAACATTTATAAGTTTTAAAATGTACATCCGTTATTGTTTTACACTTTGAAAATTCTTTTTTGTCTCAATTTTCTTTCAGAATTTTACAATTGATGTTTTTTTGGCAACACTACATTTTTTTTCTGTTGCACTCCTGACAAGGTATAACATTTTTATAAACACCATGACCACAACTTGATTAAACAAAAGTTACTACAGTCCACATTTAAAGCTCAATACTTTGAATATTATCAGGAAAGTCTTTATTTTCAGCATAAAGCAATATTATTTATTTCATAGATCTCAAAAAAATAGTGAAATTTCAAAATGTCACAAAAAGGTGTTGCACTCCTGACAATTTTGGCATCATTTTTGGGCATAACTTTTTTGTTAATTGAGAAATCAACGAGATATTTGGCAGGTATTTAGACACTATCTAAAGACATATGCTGAGACATAGAAATCTATTTTCATTGCCTGTATTTTTAGTGTGGGTTGATAAATATGCGTTTGGTCATTTTTTTTAATTCACCCATTAACTCCTTGTGAAAGCTAAGCGAAGCGAATTCGAATTAAATTTTGACCATGCATAATACCAAAAGTAAGCCACATGCAATATGTCGGTGGTCCGATGTAAGTACTAATGCAATTTTTTTAGTGAATAACAAAAAAAAATTAATTTTATCACTAAAAATTTGTGCAGACTACAGACACTATGACTGTGTCAAATATATTATCTACTCTGCATAAGATGACGTGATCTGAAATTGACTTACTGTAGAAATGAAATTTTAATTCACTAGTTTACGTCGAATTATCTGTAGTGTGAATTCAAATTAATTCGCATTTGGTTAATTTGCACTATTCGAGTTCGCAGTACTTTACTGCTAACTAAATATGTAATGCGCATTAGTGTTAAAAGGGCATTACTTTGTAAAAAATCATTCTAATTATACACTAAGTAAACAAACAAGTATACCAAAGTTGGTATATAAAAGTTGCTGGAGTTCCTCATTGACAATATTCTTGCAGTCTTTGGAGAACCAGCCTTTCAAAAATCTGATGGGATTCCTGCTCCTTTGTTATATGACCTGTGTTTATATACTTATGAAGCGAAATTCATCAATTAACAATAGTGATTTTCATTTATATGTCAACTCAAAATTAACAGTGAGAGTCTGTCACATCTGTTTCATATGTTTTACTGACTATAGACATTAATTTATGGCTAACTAACAACCAAACGCTGAGTCAAATGTGATGACTTCAGCTTTCCCATCTTTAACTTCCCCTCTTTATACAGTGACATATGGTGCTTATGACTCCCAGCTGATTCGGCATGCAAGAGCATGTTCTGAGTACGATCACTATTTTACCGAGGCAATCTACTGACAAATTACAGCATGTGATATAGGATCAGGTGCCATTGTACCATCATCCATTAGGTCATACCCACAATGAAATTTTCATCTTTTTTATTAACAATAGCGTCCTTCATACAAGAGACCAAATTTCCTTCCAGAAAAGGAATAGCACTCTAAATAGAACCAAAATCTGATACATTGATACACAAAGCAATAAATCCAAGGAAATATCAAGAGAATAAAAGTTTTCTGAGGAGTTGAAAACATAGAAATTAAAAGAATCAAATAACCAACTTCAAGACTTTAGTTATTTTCACCATACTCTAAATTATAAACTCTTTCTTTCTATAAACTTAAAACAAATAACTGACATTAATTTCCATACATGCTTCCATTAATGATCTATATTTTTTTTTATATCTGTAGCTATATTGCATCCATTGAATATTTTTGAACTTTGCAACCTAATTTAGATTAATTTCAAAATCCCTACAACCGCCGTTTTTAGACTTTAAAACACAAGAAAACAATCATGTTTCATGTTTGCATTTGGCATTAATATGGTGCATCTAGATAAAAGACTTTATATTAAATATAAAGAAAATATACGCCCATATTTTATGTTACAAAACAGCAAAAATCATAGGCTTCTTTCCTCATTGTTTGTTTGTTTGTTTGTTTATTGTTTAACGTCCCTCTCGAGAATTTTTCACTAATGTGGAGACGCCACCACTTACAGGCGGAGAGCTGCAAATTTTGACCTATACTCGACACTAAGGGGCCATTGAGAAGTGAGGGTTCTTTTTCGTGCCAGCACCTACTGCAACACAGGACCTCAGTTTATACGGTCTCATCCGAAGGACCGGTCTCCACGTCCAACAGTGGGATTCGAACCCGCGACGTAAGGATTAAATCCTCACTCCGCGACTCTAGAGCGGACCTGTACTTTCCTCATTGTAATACACCTTGTTTACTGCACTTGTTCTGCCTTCAAATTCATAAACGTTTGTTCAAAATATCAGGAAAATTAGCATTTATATAGTCTGAACAACTGTTGTTCGGCGTCAAATTTAAATGGCAAGCTTGGTTTATTCTACATTGAAGTACTAAAAGCAACATTTGTTTCATATGTGGATACTGGATATGAACATTGATCGAAAGTAAAATAACAAAAAAAAAAAAAGCTTCGATAAATGATTGTTGATTTCAATTGGTGGATGATTTCAACTTTTCTGATTTAAACTTCCCCTCTTTAATGTAGTAATACTCCATTGTAACCTAAATTTTGTGTTTATGTTCATTTTCATTTATATCGACAATTTCATTTAAAGTCAAAACTTCGAAAATTCTATGGCGTTACTATGATCTTGTTTGCAAATAGAACCGAATGTTGACGTTTTTCATACAAATTGATAAGCCATTGTTTCACACTGATTTGTCAGCGGATTACCTTGTTTTTCTTATAGAGACAAAGGGCTCAGGGCGGATGTGACACTCGACAGGGGATAATTATCCACCAAAGCACCTGATAGTATATTACATTGTGTATCAAGAGTTCCATGTTTTCCCTGCTCTCATTTTTGTATATTATATACATGTACACACTTTTCCTTAGTGATCTTAGTTAAAGAAATCTTCTTAGATATTCAAGTTAAAAATACCTGTACAATGGCATGAGCCATGGTTGCAGGATGGTTTTTGGCCATGAGAGCAATGACAGTCATTATCATAATGACATCCCAAAATGTGTCCACCCATGTGAGCTCCATGTAGATATGTGTGTCCTATGTATCAAGAAAATTTCAATGTTTAATGATATACATACAGAAAAAAAT